GATAGATAGATAGATAGATAGATAGATAGATAGATAGATAGATAGATAGATAGATAGATAGATAGACAGACAGACAGGTTTTACTATGTTGTCTACTGCCCTGGGGTGTCTATTGGTCATCTATCCAATTTCTAAAAGCTCTGAATCTGTTTAATATTTCTATGGTCAATCTTTATGACAAGATAGATAATCTTATATAACTTAGATCTCCCTGGAAAATGCTTCAAATGTAATATCTCAGAAAAAAAAATAGTTGCCATTCATACATGCTCGTGCTTTGTATGTGATCCAGAGGGTGACAATGTTGCATCCCTGGTCCCAAAATAATGGAACATGGCTGGACAATCTACCATTTAGACAATTTGCATAAATATCCCAGAGAGAACTGAAGCCCTGTCAGAAGCTGTGGTAGTAGTCTCCAATGCAGAAGATATTATATAGGAAGTGAGCTGCTGATAGGATATCTGTTCAGAAATATGGCCTATCTTCTTGAGAAAGACTAACATTCCCCCTCAATCAGCCCTTCAAAAAAAAAAAGTCCTTGTCTAAAGACCAGAGCATAACCCTAAACCCTGAAGCCTAACCCTAAGAGTCCAATTCATGTTCCCTGTTTGTCTCTATAAGATGCTGGGCAGCTCACAACCACCTCAGAAAACAAGCATATGAATAAAACAAGGAAGAAGAAAAAGATAAAAGATTGGAAGAATGGTTTAGGATTCTACATATGAAATGAAAGTTGATATTATAAACTGGCAACGAAAGAAATTTGAGATGAGCAGCAAAAAATGGACATGGAGAATGAAAAGGGATCTGGCCCATCATGAGCATCCTAGTTAGCTTTGCAGATCTTACTTATTGCTACCCATCTTATCTTGGATGGTTGAAATACTCAGGTAACTGCTACTTAAGATGACCTGTTATCTGAAGCAGAACATCCTGATTCAGCCACAGTTTTATTCCATACAGTATCAACCATGTGAACTTTCAGGCTTCCTCTTTCTGCTCTGTATTCAAAGTGGACAGTGATTAATATTTATATGCATTTGTATGTTAGGGTGTAGGTATATACATAGGTATGTATATAACATGTCTATTTGTGTGTTATGTAGGTGTACACTTTTGAAAGCAGGCAAC